ACAGTCCCGGCGGCAGGTGGAAGAAGCCGAGCGGTTGAAGCAGTCGGCAGAGGAGCAGGCACAGGCCCGGGCTCAGGCGCAGGCGGCTGCAGAGAAGCTGCGCAAGGAAGCCGAACAAGAGGCAGCACGACGGGCACAGGCGGAGCAGGCGGCCCTGCGGCAGAAGCAGGCAGCTGATGCAGAGATGGAGAAGCATAAGAAGTTCGCCGAACAGACGCTGCGGCAGAAGGCGCAGGTGGAGCAGGAGTTGACCACACTGCGGCTGCAGCTGGAGGAGACCGACCACCAGAAGAACCTGCTGGACGAGGAGCTGCAGCGGCTGAAGGCGGAGGCGACGGAGGCCGCACGCCAGCGTAGCCAGGTGGAGGAGGAGCTCTTCTCAGTGCGTGTGCAAATGGAGGAGCTGAGCAAGCTCAAGGCACGCATCGAGGCCGAGAACCGTGCACTCATCTTGCGCGACAAGGACAATACGCAGCGTTTCCTGCAGGAGGAGGCTGAGAAGATGAAGCAGGTGGCGGAGGAGGCCGCGCGGCTGAGCGTGGCAGCTCAGGAGGCTGCGCGACTGCGGCAGCTGGCAGAGGAGGACCTGGCACAGCAGCGAGCCTTGGCGGAGAAGATGCTCAAGGAGAAGATGCAGGCGGTGCAGGAGGCTACGCGACTCAAGGCTGAGGCAGAGCTGCTGCAGCAGCAGAAGGAGCTTGCACAGGAGCAGGCTCGGCGGCTGCAGGAGGACAAGGAGCAGATGGCACAGCAGCTGGCGGAGGAGACGCAGGGCTTCCAGCGGACACTGGAGGCCGAGCGGCAGCGGCAGCTGGAGATGAGCGCTGAGGCTGAGCGCCTCAAGCTGCGTATGGCTGAGATGAGCCGCGCCCAGGCCCGCGCTGAGGAGGACGCCCAGCGCTTCCGGAAGCAGGCGGAGGAGATCGGTGAGAAGCTGCACCGCACAGAGCTTGCTACGCAGGAGAAGGTGACGCTGGTGCAGACGCTGGAGATCCAGCGACAGCAGAGTGACCACGATGCCGAGCGCCTGCGGGAGGCCATTGCTGAGCTGGAGCGTGAGAAGGAGAAGCTCCAACAGGAGGCCAAACTGCTGCAGCTCAAGTCTGAGGAGGTACCGCCCCCTCTCCATGCGACAGGCGGGTGGGCCTGGGGATCTGCTTCGGTGGGTGGTGGGTGCTCCCGGGCTGGCGGTCCCTGATCACACCCTCTTCTTCTGCAGATGCAGACGGTGCAGCAGGAACAACTGCTGCAGGAGACGCAGGCCCTGCAGCAGAGCTTCCTCTCTGAGAAGGACAGCCTGCTACAGCGGGAGCGCTTCATCGAGCAGGAGAAGGCCAAGCTGGAGCAGCTCTTCCAGGACGAGGTGGCCAAGGCACAGCAGCTGCGTAAGGAGCAGCAGCGGCAGCAGGAACAGATGGAGCAGGAACGGCAGCGGCTGGTGGCCAGCATGGAGGAGGCCCGGCGGCGGCAGCGTGAGGCCGAGGAGGGCGTGCGGCGCAAGCAGGAGGAGCTGCAGCAGCTGGAGCAGCAGCGGCGGCAGCAGGAGGAGCTGCTGGCTGAGGAGAACCAGAGGCTGCGTGAGCAGCTGCAGCGCCTGGAGGAGGAGCACCGGGCCGCACTTGCGCACTCAGAGGAGGTCACTGCCTCTCAGGTGGCCGCCACAAAGACCCTGCCCAACGGCCGGGATGCACTTGATGGCCCTGCGACAGAGGCAGAGCCGGAGCACAGCTTCGATGGCCTGCGGCAGAAGGTGCCAGCCCAGAGGCTGCAGGAGGCCGGCATCCTGAGTGTGGAGGAGCTACAGCGGCTGGCACAGGGCCACACCACAGTGGACGAGCTTGCGCGGCGGGAAGATGTACGCCACTACCTGCAGGGCCACAGCAGTATCGCGGGGCTGTTGCTGAAGCCCACCAATGAGAAGCTGAGTGTTTACACCGCCCTGCAGAGGCAGCTGCTGAGCCCTGGCACGGCCCTCATCCTGCTGGAGGCTCAGGCGGCCTCAGGCTTCCTGCTGGACCCGGTGCGGAACCGACGGCTGACTGTCAATGAGGCTGTGAAGGAGGGCGTGGTGGGCCCTGAGCTGCACCACAAGCTGCTGTCGGCCGAGCGCGCCGTCACTGGCTACAAGGACCCCTACACCGGGCAGCAGATCTCCCTCTTCCAAGCCATGCAGAAGGACCTCATCGTCCGGGAGCACGGCATCCGCCTGCTGGAGGCCCAGATCGCCACGGGCGGCATCATCGACCCCGTGCACAGCCACCGCGTGCCCGTGGACGTGGCCTACCGGCGCGGCTACTTCGACGAGGAGATGAACCGCGTCCTGGCGGACCCCAGCGACGACACCAAGGGCTTCTTCGACCCCAACACGCACGAGAACCTCACGTACCTGCAGCTGCTGGAGCGCTGCGTGGAGGACCCCGAGACGGGCCTGCGCCTTCTACCACTCACGGATAAGGCTGCCAAGGGCAGGGAGCTGGTCTACACCTGTCTCTTATACACATCTAGATGTGTATAAGAGACAGGGCGGACCCCAGCGACGACACCAAGGGCTTCTTCGACCCCAACACGCACGAGAACCTCACGTACCTGCAGCTGCTGGAGCGCTGCGTGGAGGACCCCGAGACGGGCCTGCGCCTTCTACCACTCACGGATAAGGCTGCCAAGGGCAGGGAGCTGGTCTACACCGACTCCGAGGCCCGGGACGTCTTTGAGAAGGCCACTGTGTCCGCGCCGTTCGGCAAGTTCCAGGGCAAGACGGTGACCATCTGGGAAATCATCAACTCGGAATACTTCACAGCAGAGCAGCGGCGGGACCTGCTACGGCAGTTCCGCACGGGCCGGATCACGGTGGAGAAGATCATCAAGATCATCATCACGGTGGTGGAGGAGCAGGAGCAGAAGGGCCAGCTCTGCTTCGAGGGCCTGCGCAGCCTGGTGCCAGCCGCCGAGCTGCTGGAGAGCAGGGTCATCGACCGCGAGCTCTACCACCAGCTGCAACAAGGTGAGCGCTCTGTGCGAGAGGTGGCCGAGGTGGACACTGTGCGGCGGGCCCTCCGGGGTGCCAACGTCATCGCAGGCGTGTGGCTGGAGGAGGCGGGGCAGAGGCTGAGCATCTACGACGCCCTGAAGAAAGACCTGCTGCCGTCTGACGTGGCTGTGGCCCTGTTGGAAGCCCAGGCTGGCACCGGGCACATCATCGACCCCTCCACCAGCGCCCGGCTGACCGTGGACGAGGCAGTGCGCGCCGGCCTGGTGGGCCCCGAGTTTCATGAGAAGCTGCTGTCAGCCGAGAAGGCTGTGACGGGATACAGGGACCCCTACACGGGGCAGAGTGTCTCGCTGTTCCAGGCCCTGAAGAAGGGCCTTATTCCCCGGGAGCAGGGCCTGCGCCTGTTGGACGCCCAGTTGTCCACGGGAGGTGTCGTGGACCCCAGCAAGAGCCACCGCGTGCCCCTGGATGTTGCCTGCGCCCGAGGCTTCCTGGACGAGGAGACCAGCAGGGCCCTGTCAGCACCAAGGGCCGACGCCAAGGCCTACTGCGACCCCAGCACAGGGGAGCCGGTCACCTACAGCGAGCTCCAGCAGCGGTGCCGGCCCGACCAGCTGACCGGGCTGAGCCTGCTGCCGCTCTCAGAGAAGGCTGCTCGGGCCCGGCAGGAGGAGCTCTACTCAGAGCTGCAGGCCCGTGAGACCTTCGAGAAGACCCCGGTTGACGTCCCCGTGGGCGGCTTCAAGGGCAGGACGGTGACAGTGTGGGAGCTCATCAGCTCTGAGTACTTCACCGCAGAGCAGCGGCAGGAGCTGCTGCGTCAGTTCCGCACCGGCAAGGTCACCGTGGAGAAGGTCATCAAGATCCTCATCACCATCGTGGAGGAGGTGGAGACCCTGCGGCAGGAGAGGCTGTCCTTCAGCGGCCTCCGTGCCCCTGTGCCAGCCAGCGAGCTCCTGGCTTCCAGGGTCCTCAGCAGAGCCCAGTTTGAGCAGCTCAAGGACGGCAAGACGACGGTCAAGGACCTTTCGGAGCTGGACTCCGTGCGGACGCTGCTGCAGGGCAGTGGCTGCCTCGCTGGCATCTACCTGGAGGACACCAAGGAGAAGGTGTCCATCTACGAGGCCATGCGCCGGGGCCTGCTGAGACCCAGCACCGCTGCGCTCCTGCTGGAGGCGCAGGCGGCCACTGGCTTCCTGGTGGACCCCGTGCGGAACCAGCGCCTGTATGTCCACGAGGCCGTGAAGGCAGGCGTGGTGGGCCCCGAGCTTCATGAGCAGCTGCTATCGGCCGAGAAGGCTGTCACCGGCTACAGAGACCCCTACTCAGGCAGTACCATCTCCCTCTTCCAGGCCATGCAGAAGGGCCTGGTCCTCCGGCAGCACGGCATCCGCCTGCTGGAGGCCCAGATCGCCACGGGCGGCATCATTGACCCCGTGCACAGCCACCGCGTGCCCGTGGACGTGGCCTACCAGCGTGGCTACTTCAACGAGGAGATGAACCGCGTCTTGGCGGACCCCAGCGATGACACCAAGGGCTTCTTCGACCCCAACACGCACGAGAACCTCACATATAGGCAGCTGCTGGAGCGCTGCGTGGAGGACCCTGAGACGGGCCTGCGCCTCCTGCCATTGAAAGGAGCGGAGAAGGCTGAGGTGGTGGAGACCACACAGGTGTACACTGAGGAGGAGACACGAAGGGCATTTGAAGAGACGCAGATTGACATTCCTGGCAGCGGCAGCCACGGCGGCTCCACCATGTCCCTGTGGGAGGTGATGCAGTCGGACCTGATCCCCGAGGAGCAGCGGGCCCAGCTGATGGCTGACTTTCAGGCCGGCCGGGTGACCAAGGAACGCATGATCATCATCATCATTGAGATCATTGAGAAGACGGAGATCATCCGCCAGCAGGGTCTGGCCTCCTACGACTACGTGCGCCGCCGCCTCACGGCTGAGGACCTCTACGAGGCTCGGATCATCTCCCTCGAGACCTACAACCTGCTCCGGGAGGGCACCAGGAGCCTCCGTGAGGCCCTCGAGGCGGAGTCCGCCTGGCGCTACCTCTATGGCACGGGCTGTGTGGCCGGCGTCTACTTGCCCGGCTCCAGGCAGACACTGAGCATCTACCAGGCCCTCAAGAAAGGGCTGCTGAGTGCCGAGGTGGCCCGCCTGCTGCTGGAGGCACAAGCAGCCACGGGCTTCCTGCTGGATCCGGTGAAGGGGCAGCGGCTGACTGTGGATGAGGCTGTGCGGAAGGGCCTGGTGGGGCCCGAGCTGCACGACCGCCTGCTCTCGGCTGAGCGGGCGGTCACTGGCTACCGCGACCCCTACACTGAGCAGACCATCTCGCTCTTCCAGGCCATGAAGAAGGAGCTGATCCCTACTGAGGAGGCCCTGCGGCTGCTGGATGCCCAGCTGGCCACTGGCGGCATTGTGGACCCCCGCCTGGGCTTCCACCTTCCACTGGAGGTGGCTTACCAGCGCGGCTACCTCAACAAGGAAACGCACGACCAGCTGTCCGAGCCCAGCGAGGTGCGCAGCTACGTGGACCCGTCCACCGACGAGCGCCTCAGCTACACGCAGCTGCTCAGACGGTGTCGCCGTGACGATAGCACTGGCCAGCTGCTCCTGCCGCTGTCGGACGCTCGCAAGCTGACCTTCCGTGGCCTGCGGAAGCAGATCACTGTGGAGGAGCTGGTGCGCTCGCAGGTCATGGACGAGGCCACGGCGCTGCAGCTGCGGGAGGGCCTGACCTCCATCGAGGAGGTCACCAAGAACTTACAGAAGTTCCTGGAAGGCACCAGCTGCATCGCTGGCGTCTTCGTGGACGCCACCAAGGAACGGCTCTCGGTGTACCAGGCCATGAAGAAGGGCATCATCCGCCCCGGCACGGCCTTTGAGCTTCTAGAGGCGCAGGCGGCCACCGGGTACGTCATCGACCCCATCAAGGGACTGAAGCTGACGGTGGAGGAGGCTGTGCGTATGGGCATTGTGGGCCCCGAGTTCAAGGACAAGCTGCTGTCGGCTGAGCGAGCCGTCACCGGGTACAAGGACCCCTACTCTGGGAAGCTCATCTCCCTCTTCCAGGCCATGAAGAAGGGCCTGATCCTGAAGGACCACGGCATCCGCCTGCTGGAGGCCCAGATCGCCACGGGCGGCATCATCGACCCCGAGGAGAGCCACCGGCTGCCCGTGGAGGTGGCCTACAAGCGTGGCCTCTTCGACGAGGAGATGAACGAGATCCTGACCGACCCCTCGGACGACACCAAGGGCTTCTTTGACCCCAACACGGAGGAGAACCTCACCTACCTGCAGCTGATGGAGCGTTGTATCACCGACCCCCAGACGGGCCTGTGCCTCCTGCCGCTGAAGGAGAAGAAGCGGGAGCGGAAGACGTCCTCCAAGTCCTCCGTGCGCAAGCGCCGAGTGGTCATCGTGGACCCCGAGACGGGCAAGGAGATGTCAGTGTACGAGGCCTACCGCAAGGGCCTCATTGACCACCAGACGTACCTGGAGCTGTCCGAGCAGGAGTGCGAGTGGGAGGAGATCACCATCTCCTCCTCGGACGGCGTAGTTAAGTCCATGATCATCGACCGCCGCTCCGGCCGCCAATATGACATTGACGACGCCATCGCCAAGAACCTCATCGACCGCTCAGCACTGGACCAGTACCGCGCCGGCACGCTCTCCATCACCGAGTTCGCCGACATGCTCTCGGGCAATGCCAGCGGCTTCCGGTCCCGTTCCTCCTCCGTGGGATCCTCCTCCTCCTACCCCATCAGCCCCGCCGTCTCCAGGACCCAGCTGGCCTCCTGGTCAGACCCCACTGAGGAGACGGGCCCCGTGGCTGGCATCCTGGACACGGAGACGCTGGAGAAGGTGTCCATCACCGAGGCCATGCACCGCAACCTGGTGGATAACATCACAGGGCAGCGACTGCTGGAGGCACAGGCCTGCACTGGGGGCATCATCGACCCCAGCACCGGCGAGCGCTTCCCTGTCACCGACGCTGTTAACAAGGGCCTGGTGGACAAGATCATGGTGGACCGCATCAATCTGGCCCAGAAGGCCTTCTGCGGCTTTGAGGACCCACGCACCAAGACCAAGATGTCGGCCGCCCAGGCCCTGAAGAAGGGCTGGCTCTACTACGAGGCTGGCCAGCGCTTCCTGGAGGTGCAGTACCTGACCGGTGGCCTGATTGAGCCCGACACGCCAGGCCGCGTGCCCTTGGACGAGGCCCTGCAGCGCGGCACGGTGGATGCCCGCACTGCACAGAAGCTGCGTGACGTGGGCGCCTACTCCAAGTACCTCACCTGCCCTAAGACCAAGCTCAAGATCTCCTACAAGGACGCGCTGGACCGCAGCATGGTGGAGGAGGGCACAGGGCTGCGGCTGCTGGAGGCTGCCGCGCAGTCCAGCAAGGGCTACTACAGCCCCTACAGCGTCAGCGGCTCCGGCTCCACCGCCGGCTCCCGCACCGGCTCCCGCACCGGCTCCCGGGCCGGCTCCCGCCGCGGCAGCTTTGACGCCACTGGCTCTGGCTTCTCCATGACCTTCTCTTCGTCCTCCTACTCCTCCTCAGGCTACGGCCGCCGCTACGCCTCAGGGTCCTCGGCCTCCGTGGGGGGCCCTGAGTCCGCCGTGGCCTGAGCCTGCCTGCGCCCACCCCGCTCTGCATGCGGCCCAGCCCGGCTCCCACCGAGGCGCTGGGGTCGTTTTCAACGCTTAAAGGTGTCTTCCTCCCAAGTGGTGCCTAAAGTTTAACCAAAAAGACCAGACTAATATATTAATATATATCTGCTGTCCAGACAGCCTGTATCTTGGGGGACAGGGCTGGCCCAGCCCTGCTGGCCGTCTCACCCCCTCGGGTCTCCCCACTCCCCTCTACCTGCCACTCACACAGCCAGGTGCCTTGGAGGGTCCCACGCTGGGCCCCAGCCCACCCTCCTGTCCCCAGGGTTGCCCGTCTGCCTGTCCTAGCTGCACAGGGCAGCTGGGCTCAGCCCCGTCAGTAGAGGGCCCTCAGCCTCTCAGGGCTGGAGCCCTGGGCTGGCGTTTCTGCCCTGGTGTTTCTAGCACTGGCCTGCACGGTAGGCCTTGCTGGGGATGGGGAGCCCCAGTCGGCCTCTCTCCCAGTCTACCCAGAGAAGCCCCTTCCCCATGGGAAGACGAGGCCCTCGGGCCCAGCCCCCACAGTGCTGTCTGACCTGTGCTTTCCAGCTCACCCCCCACACTCACTCCTGAGACCTCTGGCCTCCGGCATCAGCCTCCAGCCTCTGTTCCCCTAGTAAGTGCCTTCCATGTCGGCCTCTAACCCCAGGCCCTGAGGACCCAGACCCGGTGGGGAGACGGACGTTCCAGCTGGCATGGCTGGGAGCTGCAGACCTGCCCTGGTGGGTCCAGGGGCCCCTTCAGCTTGTGGACCCCACCCTGGGGTGCTGCCTGCCCGTCTCTCTCCCAGGGAGTCCCAGCCCACTTTGGGCCCAGGGATGCCGGCCAGGCTCTGTGCTGACCGTCCTGTTCCACCCAGCCCTGGCCTCAGCAGCGACCGCCCCTGCCTCCACCTTCCGAGCTTTGCATGTTCCACTAACCCTGGGCGGGTGGCAGGTGGAGGTGTCAGGCTGCTGGCGCCTCTGCAAGGGCAGAACACTAACCTGACCGTGGGCGGGGCCTTGCGGCATCCGCCCCCAATAAAAGCAATTCCAACCTTCCTGTGCCTCCTGCTTTGTGTTTTTGTCTTGGGGTCAGGTGTGTGTCAGGGACAGGGTGGACATTGCAGCCCCGGGCTCCAGGCTCTGAGCTCAGCCACTATGGCTGGCCAGAGACAGACGTCTGTGTGCAACAGAGACCAGGTGCCAGCAGGAGGGTGGCTGAGAGACCCTGGGCAGAGAGGGCAGTGTAGGGCAGGGTGGTGGCCACACTGAGGCTGGGCCTGCTGGGGCCTGCTGCTGGTCAGGTGCTGACCAGCCCCCCAGCCCCACCCCTGCACTATAAGGGGCTGTTTCTCATCTGAGGCAGGGTCTAGCATGCTCCCATATCAGTCACTGGCTGTGGCCCCCTGGCCTCTGGGGAGGGTGCTACATGGCCCCGGGTCAGTTGGTTCCTGCTGTCCGGGCAGCCCTCCAGAGGAGAGGCCACAGGCAGTGGGCCTAGTGTGAGGGCCTCCACGACAGTCTGCCGTGTCTCTCGGCCCGATGCCCATCACGCGCTGGGGATTCCACCTGGATGGGCTTCTCCAGGCTTCCGATTGTTGGCAGTTTCTGGGAAGACTTAGGGGAGGAGGGAAGTGGGGCCAACCCCAGCCTGCAGCAGCCGCTGGCCCAGGCTCAGCCGATACTCCTGGTTTTTGTTTGTTTGTTTGTTTGTTTTTTCCAGGCAGTCTTGCTCTGTCACCCGGGCTAGAGTGCAGTGTTGTGATCTTGGCTCACCGCAGCCGCCGCTTCCTGTGTTCAAATGATCCTACTGCCTCAGCCTCCCAAGTAGCTGGGACTACAGGTGTGCGCCCAGCTAATTTATGTATTTATAGTAGAGACGGGGTTTCACCATGTGGGCCAGGCTGGTCTCAAACTCCTGGCCTTAAGTGATCCTCCCTGCCTGGGCCTCCCAAAGTGCTGGGATTACAGGCGTGAGCCACCACGCCCAGCCTTCACCCCTCTTCTGCTGGTGGGACCCAGGCCCTCACCCTGGGGTCCGAGTCCTGGTCTTCTCGCTCTTGCAGGGCTCTATCCTCCCCGCCCCGGCCCAGTGGTGGGTGCTCTGCCTGCTGATCCACTGGAACAGGAGCGGCCCCAGCCAGGTGACCCACAGCCATCGAGTGGGGCAGCGCCTCACTCAGTCCCAGGTAGCTGGGTTTTAGGACCTCTGAGCTCTCACAGCTTAGAGTTACAGGGAAAGGAAGCACACGTTGTCAGTGGGTCACTGGGAGCTGGTGAGTGGGCGGCCACTCCTGCCTCTAACTTGGTCCCCAGACCCATGCGGTCCTCTGTGGGGCCATTGAGGACAGGGCCACCACAGTCCCAGAGGGTTGGTGTCAGGACAGTGGCAGCAGCTCTTCCAAGAAGCTCACCGAGGCTGCAGGCTCTGTGGCGCCTGTGCTCCCCCTACACCCCTTTGCCGGAAGCAGTCGGGCCGTGGGGGCCGTTCCACAGGAGCCGGTCTCCCAGGGCAGACAGAGGCACCGTGGGCTGGAAAGGCGGGTCCATGCCTGGAATACCAGCTGTTGTCTTTCCAAGGGGAAGGGGCCTCCAGGGCTGAGTTTACCTCCAAGTGACCGGTTGGTCTGTGGCTGGTTTTGTGTCCAGGGTCCCTGGTGGTCTTTATTGCCAGAGGATAGGGTGTGCTGCTGCCGAGAGGAGCTGGGCTTGTCGTGGGGTGCTCGGCTCCGTCTGCTTCTCCATTGCTCCAGGCGGGAGCCGTGTGGGCGCACCGACACTGCTTCGCCAGCCGTGTCCTTGGCTTGTGGGTGGCTTGGTGCCTGCTCTGCAGCCGGGGCCCCTGGTGAACACCCACAAGTCCCCACACCGGTGTCCACCCGGCAGTTCTATTCCCCAGTCTGTCTTCCAGCCTTGCCCTTCTCAGGCCCTGACCGGCCAGCCGAGCCCTTCCCCAGCCCTGTCCACGTGTGTCCTTACCGTGAGCTGCTCTTCTCTCCTCATGAGAGGCCAGGAGGAGGGAAGTGGGGCCAACCCCAGCCTGCAGCAGCCGCTGGCCCAGGCTCAGCCGATACTCCTGGTTTTTGTTTGTTTGTTTGTTTGTTTTTTCCAGGCAGTCTTGCTCTGTCACCCGGGCTAGAGTGCAGTGTTGTGATCTTGGCTCACCGCAGCCGCCGCTTCCTGTGTTCAAATGATCCTACTGCCTCAGCCTCCCAAGTAGCTGGGACTACAGGTGTGCGCCCAGCTAATTTATGTATTTATAGTAGAGACGGGGTTTCACCATGTGGGCCAGGCTGGTCTCAAACTCCTGGCCTTAAGTGATCCTCCCTGCCTGGGCCTCCCAAAGTGCTGGGATTACAGGCGTGAGCCACCACGCCCAGCCTTCACCCCTCTTCTGCTGGTGGGACCCAGGCCCTCACCCTGGGGTCCGAGTCCTGGTCTTCTCGCTCTTGCAGGGCTCTATCCTCCCCGCCCCGGCCCAGTGGTGGGTGCTCTGCCTGCTGATCCACTGGAACAGGAGCGGCCCCAGCCAGGTGACCCACAGCCATCGAGTGGGGCAGCGCCTCACTCAGTCCCAGGTAGCTGGGTTTTAGGACCTCTGAGCTCTCACAGCTTAGAGTTACAGGGAAAGGAAGCACACGTTGTCAGTGGGTCACTGGGAGCTGGTGAGTGGGCGGCCACTCCTGCCTCTAACTTGGTCCCCAGACCCATGCGGTCCTCTGTGGGGCCATTGAGGACAGGGCCACCACAGTCCCAGAGGGTTGGTGTCAGGACAGTGGCAGCAGCTCTTCCAAGAAGCTCACCGAGGCTGCAGGCTCTGTGGCGCCTGTGCTCCCCCTACACCCCTTTGCCGGAAGCAGTCGGGCCGTGGGGGCCGTTCCACAGGAGCCGGTCTCCCAGGGCAGACAGAGGCACCGTGGGCTGGAAAGGCGGGTCCATGCCTGGAATACCAGCTGTTGTCTTTCCAAGGGGAAGGGGCCTCCAGGGCTGAGTTTACCTCCAAGTGACCGGTTGGTCTGTGGCTGGTTTTGTGTCCAGGGTCCCTGGTGGTCTTTATTGCCAGAGGATAGGGTGTGCTGCTGCCGAGAGGAGCTGGGCTTGTCGGGGGGTGCTCGGCTCCGTCTGCTTCTCCATTGCTCCAGGCGGGAGCCGTGTGGGCGCACCGATGCTGCTTCGCCAGCCGTGTCCTTGGCTTGTGGGTGGCTTGGTGCCTGCTCTGCAGCCGGGGCCCCTGGTGAACACCCACAAGTCCCCACACCGGTGTCCACCCGGCAGTTCTATTCCCCAGTCTGTCTTCCAGCCTTGCCCTTCTCAGGCCCTGACCGGCCAGCCGAGCCCTTCCCCAGCCCTGTCCACGTGTGTCCTTACCGTGAGCTGCTCTTCTCTCCTCATGAGAGGCCAGGGATCGCCCCCACCCCTGACTCCAGGGCCAGCCCGAGTGGAGTGGTCTGACCACCACGAACCCAACCACCATGAAGCAGGCCGGGCTTGACCCCTACCCAGTCACAGGGACCCCCAAGGCTGTGGCCTGACCAGCAGGCAAGCTGGAAGCTGGGCCACCTGCCCGTGCAGCCCTCTGGCTCTCACGGCCGGTGCCCGGCTGTGCACTGCTCCTTACCCTGGATCCTCACTGTGCCGCTGACCTTAGCCTGGGTGGGTCCTGTGGCACTGGCTTCTGGTGGGAGCTGTGGCTACACCATCCCCAGAAACTTCTCTGAACAGTCTGCAGTTCTCTGTTGCAGTCGGGACCTCCTTGCTTCAAAACTTAGGGCCTGTGCTGCAGCTCTTTTGAGCCTTGCTGGAGACCCCTTGACGCATCCTTCCCCACCTGCGGCAGGTACTCCCCGTGCCAGAGCTCTGTTAGCTCACGGGACCTGAGTGGCAGGACTTCATTCCACAGCCTCACCAACTGCGCTACCCTTCCTTTTCCTGGGCCCCACTCAAAACGAGAAGCCTCTGTGCCAACCGATGGAGATCCATATCTGGTATCGTGCCGTGTCTGGCATCATGCCGTGTGTGGTATCGTGCCGTGTCTGGTATCGTGCCGTGTCTGGCATCATGCCGTGTGTGGTATCGTGCCGTGTCTGGTATTGTGCCGTGTCTGGCATCATGCCGTGTGTGGTATCGTGCCGTGTCTGGCATCGTGCCGTGTGTGGTATCGTGCCGTGTCTGGCATCGTGCCATGTCTGGCATCATGCCGTGTGTGGTATCGTGCTGGGTCTGGCATCGTGCCGTGTCTGGCATCATTGTGCCATGTCTGGTATCGTGCTGTGTGTGGTATCGTGCCGTGTGTGGCATCATCGTGCTGTGTCCAGAACCCAGAGGCCTGCCATCTGCCAGCTTTTTCCTGGTGGTAGGAAATGCAAGGCTCAAAGCTCATTCTTGACCTTGAACAGGACGTCCTAACATGCCCAGATCTCTGGACTCCTAAAACCTTCATGACGTGACCAGTCCCTGAATCTTGGCTCAGCCTCTCTCCTGCCCTGGAGTGCCCGTGTCCTAACAGGACGTTCAGAACGCCCGCCACTTCCCGCTTGCCAGGCCTGGTGGGTGCGATGCTGTCAGTAACCGGACTTGTGTTTGTGCTTTGGTCAGTTGTCTGTGTGTCTGCAGGTCTGGCGCCGCTGTCCACCCCGTGTGAGTGGGAACTGCCCTGACCTCTTCCTGGTGCAGTAGAGAGCCCTTTGCCCAGCCAGGAGCCACAGAACACCTTGTGAGGCTGTAAGTCTGCTCCAGGGAAGACCACAGACAGCAAGCGGCTGGAGTCGGCGCTGCCGAGGGATGCTGTGGCTCAGCCACCATCCACCACAGTCCACCCAGCTCTTGTAGGGACCTGACCAGCAAACTAAGTGGGAAGATGGTGACCATCACCCCTGTACCCTTTAGTTATCGGAGGTGTTGCTGTCACTGCTGTTTTGACCAGGATGTCGTGTCGTTTTATTTCCTTGGCTGGAGCTAGGGGTAGTTTCTAAGGCTTCCATTTGTTCTTTCCTACTACGGTGATTTTTACTCCATGGGCCAAAAAGCCCACGTGAGGATTTGCCCACTGTTGAGCATG